GGTCCTGTGGCACCTTTGAGTACTTTAGTCTACAAAGGTGCCACAGGACCCTCTGTTGCTTTTTACACTTCACTGAGTTATTCAGTAACATCACTGTAGTCTTTGCTTCAGTAGATGTCCTATAGTTTACATCCTTATCCAACAAACTAGACCTAACTTGGACTTGAGAAATTCCTAGTAGCAGAATGCTACAGACCATTAATCTATAGTATAGTCCTTTGAAATACTAGAATTTGTCATCTGAACTGATACCCTATAAACTTTGCAAACAGTACCCATGCTTCACAATGTGTTTGTTGCATTTTTATTTAACAAATATTGCATCTGTCTTAAAGATGCTGTACGATTACTCATAGCTGGGGACATTTTATTTTTTCCAGACATCTTTTGATTACCAATCAGGTTCTGAGAACTGTTCCTCCAATCGTGTTTGTTAAAGACAAAGAAGCTGCAGCTATAAAAGAGGTAAGATACAATTGCTGACTCAGCGTGTAAATATCACATGTTGCAGTATGTTTTGGAACAGACATGTAAGAAGAACATGGAAGGCTTAATAGGTGTAATGTTTAAGTAGACACATAGTTGCTCACTAGATCTGGAAAACAATTTAAATTGAAAACCAATTCCCCGTCTCTGACAACAAGCTTTTCAATGTTTTGATAAGGGTCCCCAATTATTTTGATACTTTGGGGACAGTGGAAAGTAGAGCTATCTTTTTAATTAGTTTTGTTGACTTCATCTATAAAAACTTCTGAAGAGAAGAACACTCTGAAAACTGTCTAAAGATGCTTCCGGAAGATAGATAGGTTAATCCAGGAGAGAGATACATTAAATAACCTCAAATGAAAGACAGGAAACTACGGTCTTTATAACTTTATGCCAAAAAGGAAGCAGAGCAGTGATGATGGTGACCAGCTGGCTAACTGCATTGCAGCTGGTTCAACTGTTATTTTTTTGTAAAAGGCGCTGGAATCTAATGGAGAGAAACAGGGATATTGTATATGGAGGATAATATCTAGCTAAAGGTAGCAGGCTTGCATACTAGTGGAAGTACTTTTAGAATAGTAATGTCTTCTAGGAATTCATTATTATTGAGCATGAGGAGGTAATATTAGGATTGTGAGATTCCCACGAATTAGAGAGCACAGTGATACTCTGGAGTCCTTTGAAGAATGAATTGAACTAGAGGATAACAACATTAAAAATTGAGCTAATTCATGAGGTCCTGTGACCTAAATTAGCAGACTGTTAGATAAAGAGCTGTTACTATCCGGTTACATAATTATGAGTATCAGAGTCACAAGAGCATCCACTGCACAACTAGCAACCTTGGAAGAGGCAGCGAGTGTTTCATTTCTCACCAATGCACTAGAAATACGAAGTGAACAGCTGAATTTCCTTTGGTCAGTGAGGGGATCTACATTGCAATTGCAATTGTGCCTCCCAGCCCAGGTAGACAGACTTGCACTAGCTTTAACTTGAGCTAGCACGCTAAAAATAAATGTGAACATGGCTGCATAGGCAGCAGCTCGGACTAGCCACCTGAGCTCGGACCCAATGGGCTGGGTAGGCTTGGTGGACTCAGGTGTCTAGCCTGACCCACCACCCATGGCACAACTTCCACGCTGCTGTTTTTAGCATTCTCACTTGAGTCTGTCTACCTGGACTGGCAGGACAAAGCCAGCTGCAGTGCAGACATACCCAAAGGCAGTGATAAATCCAGAAAATGTTTTTTGTTAGCATACGCCACCACAGTGAAAGTGCCTTTCTACCCCACCACCAACAGGCAAAGTTTAGGCACATTAATGCTCAATTTAGGGTTGTTTAGTCCTCTGTCCCAGCCTGCAGATATAATTCCTTCATCTTTCCAGAAGTAACACAAGGATTTCTCAGAAACCTAACAGTGATTATCAGAACACCCAGAAGAAGCTTTAAATCTCTACTACAGGACCCAACTTTCAAGTCAATTTTTATATGCAATCTGTACTTCAAATAAACTAAAAACCAGACACCAACCCCCAGTAGAGGAAACTTTAAATCTTATAAGAGGGGAGAGAGACTGTTACTTTCACCTCCTAATACAAGGAAAAAACAAAAGGAATAAAAGACTGATGAGGAAAAAAATTCACAGAAAAGGATTATTACAAAACCTTACATTTGGTAAAACTTTCACAACTATAACACACTAGAGATTTATGGTCCTGGACAGACTGATCTCTTTAAGTAGTTGTGGGGTGGTGGTGGTGGTGGTATTTTTTTCTTTTTAAATTAAATCTCTTACATACAAGATTGGGACAGAAAATTTGAAGTATATGTACATTGGTAAAGGGAAAAATTTACAAGAATAAAGTGAAATCTAACCTAAAATGAGGAATTCTTAATTAACCAAAAACTAAATTCTCTCTCCAGTCCACATCAAATATATGCCAAACCCTTGAAAGTCACAGTAGTCCACTAATTAATTATTCAATTTGGTGTAAAGATCCCAATAAGGTATGTACTTCCTGGCAATTCCATAGACTGATAAGTTAGGTCTTCACTATCTCTGTTAGAACATCTACTCCATCCCAAGTCTAGTGGCAGATTATTACCTACAGTACATTTCATAGTATTTATTGAGAGGCCTTGTAAATTAAGTGGATGACTTTTATTGAAAATACAGACCATTTTGAAATGGATACTTTCCAGAAACCCAGAGGGAAGCAGCTATGTTACTCACAGACCTGTTCACTGTCTCATTCTGACTTGTTTCCTTTATGAATGTAAACAGAATAGATTTAATAGTGGATATATGTTTTCTATTTTTTCAATTGTTTACAGATTGATAGGTTATTGGCAATTGCTGATTTTGGACCTCAGGGAGAAAAAGACACTTTGGCTGAAAACGACTTTAGGTAGGTTTTTGGTTTTTTGTTGTTTATTAAATGAAATTTTGCAACAAGTATTTTCATTTATGGATATCCGATTAAAAATGGAAAAAATATTTATTTAAAGATACAGAAAATAATTATGCTGTGTGTCTATTTTGTATTTATCTCTAGCCCCTATTGTGGTATCTAATTGTTAGCATCTTAAGAATTTAGTATAATGGAGTTATGAAAAAAGACAAAGGAAAAGTTAGCGCAGTTTAAAGAAGTCCTTATGTAGACATCTTGCCTTTCAAAAGAGTGACTGACTACCATATATAACGGTAAAGGGATATTGAGTAGTCAGTTATAAAAAAAACCCACCCATAAGACAAACAAAATGTAGGGGACAGTGTTTTACTGTGTATTTACAGTGTCTAGCACAATGAGCCCCACCTACTGATTGGAGCCGCCACGTGATACCAAAATACCACAGATATTCTGTAAAGAGCCATCCTTACCTCTCTTACCCCTTAGATTGTTAACACCGAAAACAATTTAAAAACCTACATTTACATCTTGCTCTTTATGCTTTGGATTCCTTGTGCATTTCACTCCATGTGGACATTTATTTCATAGTCTCTTTTGCCTTCTGGTTCTTGTGTGCTAGCACGGTGCTCCAGTGCATAGGTCACAAGTACTGCAAGGGAAAATGTATTTAATTTAGATGTATGGACCTTAGTATGGCAGTGGAAAATGATTGGAGTAGTATATGGGACAGAGTCACATGTAGGACCATGAAGAGCAACATGTAGCTCACTATTTTGGGGTTAACTGCGTGGATTTAAAAACCAGCAACTTTCTGCTCAGTTGGTGATCTCGGCATTTTCTGTTATCCCAATCTACAATATGCTCTTCTGCAGAGCATGGTGCTTCTGAAGGCAATATCTATGTGCAGAAAGTCAGTAACCATAAGTCAAATGTTTTTGTTTCAGTAATTTACAGGCTGTAGGTTCGAGCCATAGGTGCTGACTTGCCCTCTGCCCTATGGGTGCTTGACCCTGGCCCCGTTCCAATTCCACCTTCTTTCCCCAAGTCCCCACCCCTGTCCCGCCTCTTTACTGCCTCCTCTCCCAAGCGTGCCACATTCCCACTCCTTCCCCTCCCTCCTGGAAAGTCCTAAATGCCACCAAACAGCTCTTAGGTGGCTGTCCAGAAGTGCTGGGAGGGGGAGGAGTGGGGACACAACGCGCTCGGGGGAGGAGGAGGCTAGGAGGGGGTGGAGGCCGGGGAAGCTTGGCTGCTAGTGGGTGCAGAGCACCCGCTAATTTTTCCCTGTGGGTGCTCCAGCCCCGCAGCACCCACGGAGTCGGCGCCTATGCTTCGAGTTTCCTGGATGATAGTTTCTATGGAAGTGCAGTCTTAGCCCATTGGCTCATGACCTATGTCTTAGACTAGGGCAGGGGTCGGCAACCTTTCAGAAGTGGTGTGCTGAGCCTTCATTTATTCACTTTAATTTTAGGTTTCACGTGCCGGTAATACATTTTAACATTTTTTAGAAGGGGTCTCTCTATAAGTCTATATATAATATAACTAAACTACTGTTGTATGTAAAGTAAACAAGGTTTTCAAAATGTTTAAGAAGCTTCATTTAAAATTAAATTAAAATGCTGATCTTAAGCCGCCGGCCCGCTCAGCCCATTGCCAGCCTGGGGTTCTGTTCACCTAGGCCGGCAGTGGGGTCCCAGCCGCCGGCCCCGCTCAGCCCACTGCCAACCTGGTGCTCGGGGTGGGGATGTGGGAGGTGCAAGAGTCAGGGTAGGGGATATGGGGGGGGCTGGGTATGTGTGGGGAGTGCAGGAGTCAGGGGAGGGGGTGTGGGAAGTGCAGGAGTCAGGGCAGGAATGTGGGGGGGCTGGATATGTGTGGAGGGTGCAGGAGTCAGGGCAGAGGGCTGGGAGTGTGTGAGGGGGTGCAGGAATCAGGGATGGGGTTGTGGGGGGGATGCTGGGATGCAAGGGGGGTGCAGGGATCAGGGCAGAGGGCTGGGGGGGTGGGCTGGGATCAGGGGGGTGCTCCGAGCCCCCTGAGCGGCTCACGGCAGGGGGCTGGAGGGATACACCCCGCTCCTACTCTCCTTTCCCCAGCCTCTTCTCCGCCTCCTTACTGGTCTGAGGAGCGAGGGCGCTGGGGCTGCTCTTCTCCCCTCCCTCGCAAGGGCCATCGGTGGCAGGGAGGGAGAGGAGGCGGGGCTCGACGCAGCACGTTGGGGGAAGAGGCGGGGGAGGGGGAAGCTTGGCTGCTGGCGGAGTCTGCCCTACAGCAGCAGCCGGCAGGACCAAACTTGCTTCTGCCCCTGCCAGAGAGAGCAGAAGGCAGGTAGCAGAGAAGAGCAGGCTGGGTCGGGCAGGATTTTTAATGCCACGCTGCTGCCTGCCGGGGTCCGGCTCAGCCCGCTGCCGGGGTTCGGCAGCGGGCTGAGTGGGACCCCGGCAGGCAGCAGCGTGCCATTAAAAATCAGCTCACGTGCCGTCTTTGGCACGCGTGCCAGAGGTTGCCGACCCCTGGACTAGGGAGACTTCTGTACTAAATTTTACAGTATATTGAAGGACATGTCACTTTAGATCCCAAAATTTTAAGTATTTATAACATGCTAATTTCCATAATACTTGAAACCCTAAAAAGTTCTAAAGTAAGTGATATCTGCATCACTCTTTCCCCTTCACAGTAGGATTTGTTTTATATAGCGGTAATGCTAAATCAGAGGGCTCATCTACCAAGTTTACTGATATAATTATATTGCTCTAGTTATACCAGTATAACTGCCCCTGTGGACAGTCTTATTCTGGAATAAGCAGTATAGTTGTACCAGTATATTTCCCCATGTAGACAAGCCCTGAGTCTTGAATCTTTCTCTGAAGATGGTAAAAATATAAATAAATTCTAATCCCTTGAGGAACTGAACTGAACAAACTGTTTAAAATGATGGTGATTCCAGGCTGAGTGCTATTGAAACCGTATTTTCAGACTGGAAATAAGGTCTAAATTTTTAATGGTGAGAGCAATTAACCATTGAACAATTAACCAAGGGTCATGGTGGATTCTCTATAACTAGGGCCTTATCAAATTCACAGTCCATTTTGGTCAATTTCATGGTCATAGGAATTTTAAAATCATCAATTTCATGATTTCAGCTATTTAAATCTGCAATTTCATGGTGTTGTAATTGTAGGGGTTCTGACCCAAAATGGGGTGAGAGGGGTCGCAAGGTTATTGTAGGGGGGGTTGTGGTACTGCTACCCTTACTTCTGTGATGCTGCTGGCAGCGGCACTGCCTTCAGAGTGGCTGCTGGTCAGGAGCCCAGCTCTGAAGGCAGAGCCACGACCAACAGCAGCACAGAAGTAAGGATGGCATGGTATGGTATGGCCACCCTTACTTCTGTGCTGCTGCTGGTGGGTTTCTGCCTTCAGAGATGTTGCTCAGCCAACAGCTGCCGCTGTCTGGCTGCTCAACTCTGAAGTCAGCACAGAATAAGGGTGGCAATATTGTGATCCCCCCTAAAATAACCTTGTAACCTCCCTGCAATTCCCTTTTGGGTCAGGACCCCCATTTGAGAAACACTGATCTCGCCTGTGAAATCTAAAAGCGCACAAAAGACCAGCTTTCACAGTCCATGATGTATTTTTCATGGCCATGAATTTGGTAAAGCCCTATCTATAACTGACAATTTTCAGATCAAGTTTGGATGTTTTTCTAAAAGATCTGCTCTAGGAATTAGTTTGGGGAAGTCCTGTGGCCTGTATTATACAGGTCAGACTAGATCAGGGTTCTCAAACTATGGTTTGGGACCCCAAAGTGGGTTGCGACCCCATTTTAATGGGTTTGCCAAGACTGGTGTTAGACTTGCTGGGACCCAGGGCTGAAGCCAAAGCCTGAGCCCAACTGCTTGGGGCTGAAGCTAAAGCCAGAGGGCTTGAGCCCTGGGCAGCGGGGCTCAGGTTACAGGCCCCCCACCCGGAGCTGAAGCCCTTGGGCTTTGGCCTCCACTGCCCGGTGCGGCAGGGCTTGAGTGGGCTCAGGCTTCGGTCCCCCCTCCTGGGGTAGTGTAGTAATTTTTGTTTTCAGAAGGGGGTCGTGGTGTAATGATGTTTGAGAACTGCTGGACTAGATAATCACAATGGTCCCTTTTGGGCTTGGAATCTGAGAGTTTAAAAAGGCTTCTTTGTTTCCCTCTGATTTCACACGATGATCTCTTGATAAAGAAGCTTAGTAAAAGTCATTGTGCCTTAAAGTTTTATAGTACAGTTTACCATGTGCCTCTTAAAACATACTTTTTTTTCCGCAGTGAATCAAAGTCTTCTGCATCATCTTCTGACATGGCAGCTTCGTCCATCCCAGCTGATCTTTTTGGGATCGATCATGAAGTGCTCAATAAGCAAATAATGGAGTACAAAAAAATGAAAAAGGTGAAGGACACAGAAGGCATTGGGTGGGCAGAACAGCAGCAGATGCAGCTGGCTGAGATACAAAAGCAAAAGAAAATGAAAAAGAAGAAAATAAGGAATCCCTTTGAGAATGATATCACACCACAGAAATATCTGCTGGACAAATATAGTGAAGATTCTTTGGATGATGACATTGCACCTTCTCAAGATAGTGACCTGGAGTATGAATTACAGGAAGCGATAGATGAACTAGAGGTAGATGATGACAGAAATCCATCTACTACCAAACTTAAGTGAAATTAAAAAGCTTAAAAAAAAAACAAAAAACCAACAGTTGGTAATGAATTATATTAGAGTAACCACAGAATTACAACTTCTGTGCTGCTTATTTACCACCTCCTTTCCATCTTCTCCAAAATATGTGGAAGTGAATCAAGTACTACAAGTTTTCATGGGAAAATAATTTTTAAAATCCTGCTTATAATAAATCTGAGAAGATGAGCTCTTCTGAACTAAAATAATTAAGAAATATTATGGTTGTCAAAAGTAAAATACCCTTATCAGCTTTAGACTGAGATGAAACTTCTTGTAAATACATTATGTACCACCCAAAAAGCTTATTACCTATGCCTTTATATAAGTGCAAGGAACTGTCAAAAATGAAAATATTTCAAAAAACTTGATTATAGTAGAAACATGCTAAACTACATTTCAGTATCCTGCAAACTTTGTATATGCACAAAAATGTGCTTTCCTTACTTCTCAAAGATTTAATAGAGTGCTTTGTGCTGTGATCTCATATTACTAAAGCTTATTTTTACAAACTATGTATAAGTATTGAAGTATTACATCTAAAACTACTAAAATAGACAAATTACCATAATAGTATGACTTCCATGCAGTCAGGCAAGATTCAGGCTCCAAGAGAGACATTTTTTTGCTGGGAGTAGAATGAGTGGTCATGGCCTATGTACTTATTTCCTTGGCTACATTTTTTTACAATATGCACGTTTCCTGTTTCTACCTTTGAGCAGGGGCGGACGCTAAACAGCTCACAATTTGCAGAACTTTAGAAAGCAACTGATATTCAAACCTTCAGCTAACCAGCAGTTTCTCTTGTAACTCTCCTTCCCCTTGGAGCCTTGTTTTCACTAAGAAAAAGGGTGTGTTTTGATAAGTGGTACTAGCCCTGGTCTACATTACAAACTTATGTCGTATAATTACATTGCTCAGGAGTGACACAGTCATACCAACCTAACTCATAGTTTAGACAGCACTATGTTGAAGGGTTGGTGTCTCCCATCAATGTACCTACTGCCTCTCGGGTAGGTGGAGTGCCTACATCAAAGAGGAAGTTCTCCCATCTGCATCTTCATTAAGGGCTACAGCTGCAGCTAACGGATTAGCTGGTGAAGGTAAACCCTAGGCTTCCCCAGGGATGACCTTAGCCATCTAACACGTTAAAACTACAACCTGCCTTGTCTCCACTAGGATATTAACACATTACAGTAGGAAAAAAGGTAGGGTAGTTAGATATGGTCTGTATCTCTAACTCCTCTCCAAAACATTAAAAATTCTTTAAGGGCATGTAACTTGAATGACAGTTGAGGCATATCTTTACTAGGGAAAAAAAGGTGTGTTCTTAACTTGAGTTAGCTAACACAAGATAAAATCCTAGTGAAGGCACAGTAGTTTGTAGTTTTCATATGAGTTAGCAGATAGAGTTAAAGACTAGGTGAGTGAAAATAAGGCTTATTCACTACTCCTAGCCTCATGAAGACCAAAATGGCTTAGTCTTTCTGATGGCTTCACAAATGTCTCATTCTCCCTCTCCACTTCTGTTTTGCACCTCAAGGGGAAGCCAGTCTGAACAAATCTTCCTTACATAGGCACAAAGGCAGAGATAGCTGCTGTTATCTGGCCATTCCATTTAGAAGTCTAATTTTTCCTCATCAAGTAACTTGATACCCAGCTAGGTTTATCTGCAGAGCCTGTTAACTTCTGTTGTTTCCCTTCCCCATCTCAAGTACAGGCTCTAGATATATAAATTTGCTTAATCTACAGGTTTTTTTCCTGCAGAGTTTGTGGTGCTTTATTTGTTCAGTTCAGAATTCAGTAATTCACAAGGGGCCTCCTGCTTGCTAGTGCAAATCAGCAAGATCCCACTACAGTGAGATCAGTTGGGTTGTGTCTGCACTGTGTTCTAATGTTCCGTGCTTAAGACATATGAACTCTTTTTCCCTGAGTAAATCCATCAGTACAACATTCTTCTAAGATTCTTCTGTTTGGATCAATTCAATTTTGACTCCCTTTTTTCATTACAATTATTTTTTTCCCATTTCATTTTACAGATTGTCAGATTTTTAACAATTTACAAAATCTCAGTGTCTCTTTGGGCATAATACAAACTATATCTATAGCTCTCTCTCTCTCTCTCTCTCTCTCTCTCTCTCTCTCTATATATATATATATATATATATATACACACACACACACACACACACACACACACACACACACACACATATATTAACTGAACTGACAGTCTTAGGTTCTGCTCTTGGAAGAGTATGGTAAACATTTTTAGTTCATAACTTAATATCAAACCAGACAAAAACAAAACTTGTCAACCAAACACCACGAAGGGATGTGCTGATTATTACTATTTTTTTTTAAAAGAAAATACCGTGCCACAGTGGCACCAATGTTAGTTTGAGCAATGAGGTATTTATTCCTTTGGAGGAAGGACTGAAGAAAGGGTGAAGTTCTATAAATGTTACTGTAGATAGTATCCTCATAAAAATACTAATTGAGGCCATGACTCAGCAATTCATTTAAGTACATGCCTAACTTTAAGCATTTGAATGTTTTCACTAACTTCAATGTGTTTAACCACTATGTGGAATCAAAGCCTGGTATTCCATACACTCAGTCTCTCTCTCTCAAATTTCTTGCTATAGTCAAATATATGAACTAGGGACAATTTTAGTTGTCTTTCGAGCTAAATCCCAACCTGCCCCTCCCTGGGCATATACCTTGTTCAACACTGGTAATCTGCTCCTTCAGCCCAGTGGAATGCTCACCAATAACAGCAAAGCCCTGTCGGCATGGGAGACCGAACTTTCTCTATGGGTGGTCCAAGACCTAAGTACCATCACAAACTTTACCCCTTTCCACTCCAGGTGCATTTCTTTGACCCTGGCTTACGTAACACATAGCAACAGGGGTGTGTGTGTGTGTGTGTGTGTGTAGACTCTCCACTGCACATGTTTTTCCCTCTGGGAGGGAGAGGATGAGAACCAACAACAGGTGACAGAAGGCCCTCAGATGCTATGGTACATGAATAGACAGGTGGCTCTAGGTCCCTAATACAGCCCTTTTACCCCTCTAAGTTTCCTCTCAGGCCATTTGCCTGTGAATATCGGGTAATCCTGGCTGTTTTTCTTAACTATTTTAAGGGTCCTACAGGTCTCTTCAAAACCCACCTATTGCCTACACCTCCAACTTTATTTAACCAGTTTGAACAATAGCATTCAGCAACTCTTCTACTACTTACTGCCAGAGGGAAAGCCTAATCTTACAAGATCCTGGCAGCACTTTCCTTACTGCTCACAGTCTAGCTCCCTGACCCTTTCTGGATCCTGCTTCCTTTCTCCCCAGAGCCAACAGCCCTGCAGATTCAGCCCCCCACAAATTCCAGACAGTCTCAGTGGACTCCATCTAGGAGTCCAATCCTCTGTGTCTCCGTGTACCCAGCAGCATATAATCTTTGCTCTTCATCCAACGATGTACCCTATCATACAATTTTGCTTAACAGTTATCCTATAACAGCATGTCTTATCCTACAATTTCAAGATAACAGTCCCTTCTGCACATCATCTAGTCACTGGAGTCCTAGGGAAAATTCCAGACATCTGAAATAGAAGCAAAGCAGGCCTATGGTGTATGCCTATGAATCCTTGTTTAGAGAGGAACAGCTGCTTCCAGCCACTTCTGCTTGCACTGAGAGGAGCGTAACCACAAGCAGGTTGTGCAAGAAAGAGAGGAACTACTACCTAGCAACTAACTAGTAGCTACGGGCAAGAAAGGTCCATTCTGAACTTGAAAGTAGAGAAATAGATGGAAAAACCAAGTACAATGGAAAAGGGGCAGGCAGATGAAATCCTATGAAGCATCTGGAAAAAATATATATACACAAACTAATGACTCGGAAGAGATTGACAGCAAGAGGAAAGAGTCATATCAAGGTATCTGGAGATAGTTAAAAGGAAAAGCAGGTCCAAAGAGAAATACTGAAAGATCTTTGATAGGGTAACAAGTCTTGTGGATGGGCAGGAAGCAGTAGATGTGGTGTATCTTGACTTTAGCAAGGCTTTTGGTACTGTCTCACAAGGCCTTCTCATAAACAAACTAGGGAAATAAACCTAGATGAGCTGCTATAAGGTATGTGCGTAATTGGTTGGAAAACCGTTTCCAGAGAGTAGTTATCAGTGGTTCACAGCCAAGCTGGAAGGGCATATCAAGTATCAGTTCTTGGTCCAGTTCTGTTCAATATCTCCATGATTTAGATAATGGCATAGAGCAGGGGTGGGCACACTACGGCCTGGGGGCCACATCCAGCCCTTCAGACATTTTAGGCTGGCCCTCGAGCTCCCGCCAGGGAACGGGGTCCAGGGCTTGTCCCGCTCCAACACTCCAGCTGGGTTGTGGGCTTGCCCCGCTCTGCGCATACCATGGATCCGCACAGCTCCCAGAAGCAGCGGCATGTTCCCCCTCCGGCTCCAACGCGTAGGGGCGGCCAGGGGGGCTCCGCACACTGCCCCCGCTCCAAGCGCCGCCCCTGCAGCTCCTGTTGGCCGGGAGCCACAGCCAATGGGAGATGCAGGAGCGGCACCTGCAGACGGAGCAGTGTGCAGAGCCACCTGGCCGCGCCTCCACGTAGGAGCTGGAGGGGGGGGACATGCTGCTGTTTCTGGGAGCTGCTTGAGGTAAGCACCTCCCGGAGCCTGCACCCCTGCCCCAGTCCTGATCCCACCCCCTGCCCTCCGAACCCCTCAGTCACAGCCCAGAGCCCCCTCCTGCACCCCCAACCCCTCATCCCCAGCCCCACGCCAGAGCCCTCACCCCCCTGGACCCCAACTCCCTGCCCCAGCCCAGAGCCCCCTCCCACATCCTGAACTCCTCATTTCTGGCCCCACCCCAGAGCTCGCTCCCCCAGCCAGAACCCTCACCCCCTCCCACACCCCAACGTCCAGTTCCGTGAGCATTCATGGCCCACGATACAATTTCCATACCCAGATGTGGCCCTCAGGCCAAAAAGTTTGCCCAGCCCTGGCATAGAGAGTACACTTATAGTTTGAAGATGATACCAAGCAGGGAGGGGTTTCAAGTGCTTTGGAGGATAGCATTAAAATTCAAAATGATCTGGACAAACTGGAGAAATGGTCTGAAGTAAATAGGTCTGAAGAAATTCAATAAGGACAAATGCAAAATACTCCACTTAGGAAGGAACAATCAGTTGCACACATACAAAATAGGAAATGACTGCCTAGGAAGGAGTACTGCAGAAAGGGATCTGTGGGGTCATAGTGGATCACAAGCTAAATATGAGTCAACAGTGTAACACTGTTGCAAAAAAAAGCAAACATAATTCTGGGAAGTAATAGCAGGAGTGTTGTAAGCAAGACACAAGAAGTAATTCTTCTGCTCCACTCTACACTGATTAGGCCTCAACTGGAGTGCTGTGTCCAGTTCTGGGTGCTACATTTCAGGAAAGATGTGGACAAATTGGAGAAAGTCCAGAGAAGAGCAACAAAAATGATTAAAA